CGCCACACAGAGTGAAGACTGTTGAGCGAAACACAGAAACCCTTTTCTCTGCCTTCTTTTCTTTTTAAGTGCGTGTTATATAATTTATAGGTTTGAGGAAGGGAAGGGAGGGAAGGAACCCTCGTATCTTGCATTGCAATCAGGTAAAAGTCCAAGGACAATTGCACTTCGATAATCAGGAAAACCAAATAGGTTTCCCCTCCCAAATAATAAGAATTTTTGCCCCTCACTCCGGTCACACTGCACTCTTTTCTGTGCAACCTTCCTGTGGATCACAAGCAACAAGCCACGCTGCATGTTGGACTGAATTCCCTACAGTGCCTGATCGGGAGCCAGTGTCCTTGGGCTCGCTGGTTCTGAGGACACCACACCTGCCCGAAATCACACTTCCTTGGCGTTGTTGCTGGGGCTGCAAACATTAGCTGACCAGACAATTCAATCGTTTGGACCTTTCATCTGGAGATGGCAGGAATTGAACCTGCAGCCTTGGTGCACACAAAATGGTACCCCGCACCTACACTCTCCTCCATCAACTCTTGGAGGGCATCCTAAGATGGAAGCTAATGTGTACCTCCATCACCTCAAAACAGCTAATACTTTCCCCAGGGACAGTGCTGTTCATAGGCAAAGGTTCAGTCGATTTCATTCATGAATTTAAAACTCATTGTTCTGTGGATTAAGGTTTGGTTAATTGGTTGACAGCTCTTGTTGCTTGAACTCTTTCAGCAAGATATTTGCTCACCGTTCGCTTTCATTGAGCAAAGGCAGATGCTCAGTGCTGATTTGTCAGTGCCTAGAAGAAACTCTAAACAAATCTAGGAGAATATATTCTATTACTATAGGAAAGAGAGGTATTTTGAAGATTCACATTTGTGTAGGAAACGTTGCACAAGCTGAATGAATGTTTGCTCGCCCTCCTCCACATGTCGACAGGGGAGTCCTCCTCCTCTGCATGTTCAAAAGAAAATATTAGCTAACCCTAACAATATGCAAACCAACCAGTTTTGCCTATAATATTTAGGAGCTGCATGTCACAGTTTCACCTAGGTTTCCTTTATTATTTTATGTTATTTTTATTGTATTTTTGTCAGAGTTATCCTTTATCAATAGCTGTAAAAAAAAAAAAAGCCTGGAATTTCATGGTCGCTAAAATGAGTTGCCACTGCAGGGTGTTAGCAGACAAAAGAACCCCTCACTGGCACAGAACAGGGTGACCCTGCACCATACGTTGGTCCGAGCTTCACCAGTGGAGAAGAAGGGAATAGAGTCCTGGGGGTCTAGTACTGCTGGATGGCCGGAATCCGAGCTCATGAGGACTTTGTCTGCCAAGGAGACCAAATGGAGGGCACAAGCTCAGCTCCAGCAACTCAGGTCGGGATGCTAGGCCAGGATTCCACCCCACCTGGCTATGAAAGCACCATAGTTTGCCCTTTCAGGTCCATTCTTGCTCCAGTGCAGCACAGGGTGAAAACTGGAGTTGCAGCAAAAGTCGCACAGCCGCTGTGCAAGCCCCCACCTGCCCTCCTGGCTTTGCCATGAAAAGGAAGGACATGAGCGAATCAAATGGTCACTCAGCCTTGCCCCTCTCCCTGCATCTGGCAGACTGCCCGTCTTCTTCTTTTGAGTGTTGCATTCATATGTGTTTTTTTCATCATTTGCTATCTTAGAAAGGAGTGATTTAACAGGCAAAATGGATCTAAGGTGTACAGGAGATCAGTGCTCCATGGTGATGTCACAGGTACAAGCCTGTCAGCATTGTGCGCAGCCAGCTTCCGATGCAAACCTGGCAGGGACATTCCAACTGAATGGAGTGAGCAGCTTCCAGACAGGTTGTGGGTCTGCAGCCCTGGGAAGGGTGTTCCCCATAGTAGGCTGCTTACCATGGCTGGGAATCGGAATTGTCAAGGTACGAAGGCATGACATGCTCCTCTGTTCCCAGACAGTATGGCTTGAGAGGTTTCATGCAGATGCCATTCTTTGTCCTGCTGCCAGATTTGGAGAAATATTAGATGCGTTACCACCAGCCAGAAAATGGGGTTCTAGGATGCCCTGCCAGGGAGAAGATGAAGAAAATGCACACCTGTCTTCTAAGAGCAAAGCTTGCCTGCATATCATTTCCAGATCACCAGAGGTTCTGGTCTCCCTCTGTTTGGCACTGGTTGCACCGCATCTGAAGTCTTGTGTCCAGTTCTGGGCACCACACTTCAAGAAAGATGCAGACGAAGTGGAAGAAGTTCAGAGGGGGGCAACAAAGATGACCTGGGGACTGGAATCAAAGCCCTCTGAGGAAAGATGGGAAGAGCTAGGCATGTTTACCCTAGAGAAGACGGAGGAGAGGTAGGCTAACACTCTGCAAGTATGTGAAAGTCTGTCACATAGGAGGGCTGGGATCCCTTCTCGATCATCCCAGAGTGCAGGACAAGGAATAACAGGTTCAAGTTCCAGGAAGCTAGGTTCCAGCTGGATATCAGGAAAAGTTTCCTGACTGTTAGAGCAGCATGACAACAGATCTCATGACCTTGGGAGGCTGTGGGCTTTTCCACATGAGAGGCATCCGAGATGCAACCAGGCGGCCACCTGAGAGGGATGGTGTAACTGGGAGTCCTGCACTGAGCAGGGGGCTGGACCCACAGGCCTTCTGGCTCCCCCCGCTTCCATTCCACAAAGACCCCCTTGAGGTCATCCTCATGCTCCAGGTGGGCCGTGCCTCCTGGCAGGAGGTCTCCTAAGGGTCTTTGCTGGCACTGCTGCTTGACAGTCATTTGAAAAGAACAGAGCTGGGGGTGCCTGGGCTCGAACCGGCAACGTCCTGCTTACAAAGCCAGAGTTCTTCCGATGAGCTCGATCTGGCAATGCCAGTGAGCCCCAGGATCAGTCTTTTTGAGAAAGCTGGTCTTGCTGTCCAGATTTACTTGCACAGTGTTAAGAAGTTGTGTGTGTGTGTGTGTGTGTGTGTGTGTGTGTGTGTGTGTGTGTGT